GGTCATGTAACTACCGGTTATCCTATTCAACGAAAGTTCCGAATAATTTGTCGTTTGTACTCGTCATGAATTAATCTCAATATAAGTATCACTGAAAACTAGGAGGCATTAGACATACTACAGTGGTGCTCACCACCCATTTAGGGGTTGAACCCATCAGATCTCGCACGGAACTCAGTCTTTAGAAGCAATGAGTTGGGGTGTAGTGGTGCAATTGCAGATTAAAAGAATTTGGAATGTCATGGCAATCATCTAATATCACTGGTAGCAACTTTCACTCTCTACATATCTGAACTTTACCAGTCACAAGTCTTTATTAGAGCTTCAGGTGTTTCTTGTAGTAAGTCACTTATGATCTGACTCTTATAGCTTGGTTAAAGGGGTTTTGTAGAGATTGGTTTACTTTGTTGGCTGTATTCGTCAGTAATACTCTCAATTCAATCGATACAACCTATAAATTATACCAATCTCAAAACTTCAACTAAACCTCCGATAAATAAGGTAGTATCGTTGTATTAATGCATAATTGTTGAATGATCTACGGCATTAACTAGTGTCTGTTGAAACATCATTTGAAAATCATGTAGTGGGTGGTTTCTAGTTGTACTACTTACTCATCTTCACTATCAGTACGAATGAGCATGGGCTGATTTGTTTATTGTATTTATAAGACTACAAAATGAATGTCAATATTTTTCACCATTAAATAATTGATTTTTTATGTCATCAAATTATCATAGCGTTAATTTGGTTGTTGTACATAGAAATTGATCAATCCATATCATGAGGTATACTAAAGTTAACTATTCGAATGTATTATTGAATTAAATAACACAATGGTTCAGTGTCATCCCACGTCTGTCAGAATAATTTTGATATTTGGGTAGACATTACTAGTAATTGGATCCCTGTTTTAATTTACAGAAATTAGAGTAAAATTGTAGTTTTCGTTTTTTTTGCATTTATATATTTTGAAAAATGGATCCAAATGTTCAATAATAAATTGCTTCAATGTTATGAACTTGTATGGCTTTACAACATTTCCGAAATAGAACAGAACTTTTAAATTGTTCAAATCTTATACTATATCTGCGTACAAATCTGCTCTCAGTCAGTCAGTCAGCTACAACGTAGGACCAGGTACATATATGCATCGGTCCAAGTTGCCATAACTCATTAGCACAACAAGATGAACACCGAATTCATAGTAGTTAATTTAGTGGTGGTAATATATAAAAGAAAGGTTGTATATAAGGATATGGTACAGGAAGAAAGCAATTTTAATCTCAAGGTTCACGGGAAGATAAAGAGTGTATACACCTACGCCATTGTGATCGATTCTAAGCCACGTCACCCAGAGTCTCCAACCATTGGTTACGATAGTCACGCGAACCCCAACCAAATAGTCTGCATCTACCAACATGGCTCAGACCAGCAGTTATTAACTTCAAACACTGATGCCACGTTTTAGTTTGACCGCCTCTAATTCTTTTCCGACCATCCCCTACACTAGTCAGCATTGCGCGTTGTGGTAATCGGTGTTCCGGCAAACGTAACACGTGGCCCAACCATCTCAGTCGATGAAGATTCATCGTCTCATCAACTGATTCACCATCATTTCCTAATACCACGTTTAGCAGCTGCGATGTAGAACAGAGCGAACTGCTGCGCAGTATACTCGTCCCTTAATTGATAGACGGATATCTCGTCTTCGCCATAGGTGACGTAATTTGGTAAAAGCCAAACGAGCTTTTTGAATGCATGCTGAGATTTCGTCGGACACCAACCCATTATGACTGATCAGACTCCCAAGATAAATGAAGTTGTCAACGCGTTCGACTGATTCACTCCCTATCCTTAGTTCAGGTGTTGACGCAAGTCAGCTCTGAAGCACTAATTTGCATTTAGAGGGGGAGAAACTCATTCCAAACATCTTGGCATTGTTACACAGTGCTAACAGAAGACTGCATTTTGCCAGCGTCTTTACCAAACAGTACTATGTCTTCTGTCTTTCCCACCTCTTTTGCTTTAGTTGCCCACCACTGCTCACGATCGTTCCCTAGACTTTTGGTTAACGTAGATCTGATTTGTTTTCACTCTTCGTGGTGTTCAGAATCTAATGGGATGTTTACGAGAATCCATCAGTGCAATAGACTTGGAAGAAATCCATTGGTTTTTTGTAACCCTTTGGTTTGAATTACTAATAGATGTTACTGCTGTTTCCACAGCTCTTTGTATATTCTTCTAAGCAACATCTGGGTCAGTCTCGTTTACAGAACTGCCTAGATGTGAACTCAGTTGTTTCTGGAATTCGCATTTGGCTTTCTCGTCCTCCAGTTCAATCCTAATGGGTCTTCTTAGTGTACTTTTCCTGCGTCCATTGAGGCGCAGACAAATGCGCGCTCGTATTAAGAAGTGATCAGAGTCTAAACAAGTATTCCAATACGAGCGACAATCTTCTATCGAGCCTCTCCAACGATGACTGATGACAATATGGTCTATTTGAGTCCATCGTTGATTTGGTGCAGGTGGTCGCCATGTTAGACGATGTCTCTCCTTATGCTTAAAATTAGTGCTTGCTAAAAATAAACGATTGTCTGAGCATAGTTGCGACAGACGATCACTATTATCTGTTCGCTGAGCTGGAATACTAAAATACTCACCTAAAAGTCTTTCTGTTTGGTTTAAGCTACCTGCTTTATCATTAAAGTCACCTGCAACGAGTAATACGTCTGAGCGTTTAGCTTTTTGAAGTTCAGAAAGCTTTCTGTCAAAGTCATCTTCGAGTTCATCTGGGCTGCAGTCAGTGGGAGCGTAGGCAGAGACGACGAAAAGGCAACGACGTTTGTCCCTATCCTTCCGAGTTCTTACGGAGCCATTTAGCCGGACAGCACACAGGCGACTGTTAACGGGAATCCGTTTGTAGGATTGACCTTTTCTAACCCCACCCCTCCTTGTAGGAAGGCATCATCACTGTTATGCTGGTTGTCTGAAGGAAACACCTTACTGCTGTCACACCTCTGTACAGTCAGCAGTACGACTTCGCCTTCGGACCTTGGGTTAGCTGCTTTTAGTCTTACCGCTCTTCAAACGACCTGCCTGGCATGGTAGAACTTTGAGGAGCGATTTTTCCATGATAAATATGACATTTTCCATAGCCGCTCACATTCATTGTTATATTTCATAAGGAATCCCTTTGGCTGGAATGGACAAGAAATCGGGATGAGACATGTTTTGATTGTACTTAATATTGAATTTGTCCATTGAACATGTTAATTTATTTAATGAGCATGCGAACATCGGAAATCGAATATTTTTCTCTATTCATTTGGATATTACAAATAAACCATCAGTATTCAAACAACACTTAATTCATTATGAATTTCTATATTCAAACCTTTATGAAAGTGGACTCCTGATTAATCCTCTTTCAGTGGTTTTTAGTCTATGGTGGTAGGTGTCTTATATTTTCAGTATTTATGAATATAAGTTTTCAGAGCATTGTAATAATGGTCAATTCATTCATTTTTTTATCATTATGTCCCTAGGTAAACGTATGGTACCATTATCTTTCACACAAACCGTGTCATTCAAAACCGACTACTTTATTTGGTATTTGTTAAATGGGTTACAATAAATGATGTTGAATAATTTGAAAGAGAAAATTGTCAAAAACAGTATTTTCCTTTATTACATCATCAATGTATTTCTGCCTCTATGTTTCAAATAAACACTTAATTCAACTTTCATAGCATATATCGAGATTAGTAATATGTTAATAATAATTTGATTTGAACAATCTTCAGATATGGGTCAGAACACCAGTTAGTTTTGCACACTATTGAGGGTTCTCAAATGTTCACGAAAGAGCTGTCCCATAATCTTTGGATTTTACTGAAAAGAAGCTTTCCTGGTGATGCATTCAAAACAAACAACACCAATCTTACACCGTTTTTCAGAGACGATCGCTGCCAAACCCGACCTATGTATACTAAATGAAAGCTTAATTAGCATTTCCCTGCTATGATGATTGGATATTTATCTAATAGCCTTCGTTAATTTTAGTCTTTATTCAACCCTGTCCCCAACTTTGTTATTTTTTATTATTCTTTTGTCTTCTGATATTTATCTCCTACATAGTCTGATTAATGTCCACGTATTCGCTTATTTTATCATTAATTTCATTACCTTCACATAATCTCTCAGTTATTACTTACCAAAATATAGGCACAAATCGATCTTCACTATGTTTACTCACACACTGTAAATCTTTATTTTTCTGAATATTACGATTATGGTTGCGTTTCAAACGGTTATCTAAACTTCACACACTTACTTAAATGACCGAAGAAGTAGACGTTGATAAATTAAAGTTCGCTAAACATTTGTTAATAACTATATTTATATTAATAATTACAATTTCAAATTGTATGCAACTGATGAGAAACTATGTAGTATCACGAATTCATTTAATTCCCCGAACCTTATTACCCTTATTGTAAGCAAAGATGGATAGTGGCTAGCAGTGGAATCCAGGATGCGCGTTTCGTCCTTTTTGGGACTCGTCAGCTGAATGTACCTGCATTTCAGAGTCGATGTTCACTCTGGGTCTCGAACCCAGTCCTGAATTCCACTGCTAGCCACTATCCATCTTTGCTTAGAATGCTTGTGAATTAAGGTTATATCGAGGCAATACGCACAGTATGCACATATGCCAATTAGAGACTGACCAGTTGCAGTCCTAACACATCGATGATAAGATTCAAACAAACAATACTAAATGAACTTATTACCCTTACTTTGTCCAATGATTTTGTTTAGATATTTTGCATATCCATGATTGATTACCTTTGAAAAGCATATTACCTATTTATCTGTATATCGTTCTTTTTTCACTTCTACATTTTTATTAACACAGCAGATAGTTAATTTGCTATTTTTTCATTCCTCTAATATTTTTGTTTATCTGTCAATTACTAACAACCGGGCAACTTAAATCTAAAGCGAATGTGCAGTTTTTATTTCGTATACAGATCATTATTAGATTGATTGATTAATCAGTTGATGAATGAAATAAATCCTTCTTAAATAAATCATTAATTAATTGTTTATAATTGATTCTTTCCACTTTTGATTTTTTACTTAAACCAATTGATTTTGGTGTATCACCTTTACTTATTGGTAACCAATCAATATCAATATTCTCAATGTAATGAAATGATTCTTGATTAGATAATTCTTTAGTTTCAAAATTTTTCCAATTCAGTTGATGAATGAATTGTTCATATTGTATTGAATTATTTTGATTGACTGAACTGAAGTTTACATATAGGAAAGAAAATAAAAATAAAAATCAGAGGCCGTTTTGTTGAGAATTAAGTATTTTCATAGTTGAAATCATGAGTCAATTGAAGCTAGACCACCATAGAAAACCTGGAAGCATTGGACGGCCGTTTCGTCCTATTACGGGACTCCTCAGCAGTGCGCATTCACGATCTCGCCTCGAGAGATTCGAACCCAGAACCTACCAGTCTCGCTCAAGAACCCTTAACCGATAAACCACTGATCCGACATCCAACGGTGGTAATGTATATATATATATATATATATATATATAACAAGTTTGTCTGTATTGGTTTTGATCTCACCTTCTAGATATAGTTCTAGAGATGACTCTTCTACAGGACCTTTCATCAATTAATCTACTCTAATGCTTTCTCTTTGGCTCATAGCATGCAGCCGACATAGTTTAGTCTGGGAAAGTCTCTGCAGATTTAAATGGAACTTACTCTGTTTTCTCAACTTCGGTCACCTGTTACAGAAACGAGATATCTGCTTAATAATCGAAGGGTGAGTAGACCATACAACTATATATGAGCTATATTGATCTATAATGATGAAATACGTTCTTTACAGGTTAAGAATATCCATACGTCGCTAGATCATTGGCGTCTGTGAAACATTGTCAACGTATAGTGAGACCGCCTAATCAGTTACGATGAAGTTAAGTGTCTGATTTTACATTAAGATCTCAAACTCCTTGATAAATTAGTGTGTGTTTATCAACTGAGGTGACTGGAATATATGGGACAGAATTAAGTTTGGTTGAAAGGGGGTTAGTGTCGGCAAAATGATTGCAGGGTCGGTTCATGAGTTCGTTGGTTATTGAAATGAGCTATGAGAGTAGGTATGGATTTTTTGAACAGTAATAATCATAATCTATATTTGTAAACATTATTGCTGGAAATCAGTCACAATGATGTAGGTCAATTCATTCCTTAACCTCTGTGCAATCATGGGTTTTCATGTTATTTCGTATGCTTCATTCAACAAATCCATCCGTTTCTTTCCTTATTAAATGCTTTTATCATGCTATCATCAATAATTCTATTGTTTGAACCTGCTTCACTTTCATATTGTTAAGCTTTTTCTTTAGTTTAGGAGATATGAAAAATAACAACTTGGATCAATAAACATTTTTGTCAGATACCGTATTTTCTTGACTGACTGAAAATTTATTTATTTTTATTGACAAATTTCGATTGGGGAAAATAAGATTGTACATAGTTCTTAACTTAAACCTTGTGATCACCTTCAACGTAGTATCGATTCTGTCTTATTTGTTATCAGTGATTCGAAAAATGCTTATAATCCCATTTTAATTAGTTGTTTGTTTTATTCTGTTTTGTATCTAGTTTATAACTATGGTGTGTCATTGTGATAATACGATTTTAAAAACAAAAAATTGATTTAATTTCAATTAACTGGTACATCCATTCTGTTGGAATTCACTTAAACAACAAAGTGAGGACATTAATACTCAGTTATCAATCATCTAAATATATACATCATCAGATGTATAGCCACAGTTGAATTCACTAATTGATCTAAGCTACACCACCACTGAAAACATGAAAGCAGTAGGTGGCCATGTCGTCCTAGTATGAAACTCCGCAGTAGTGCGCATCCATTATTCCACACGCGGGACTCGAACCGAGGTCCTTCGGTCTCATGCGCGAAAGCTTAACTTCTAGACCATTAACCCGTCATCATTAATATCTGTACTGAGAATAGTTAATATTGTTATTATTTATATCGATATAAGCACCAAATATAAAGTGATCGTTAATTTCGTTGGTGATAGATAACGATTTAAGGCTTTATTATTTACTTAATTTTATTTAACTGATTCTCAGTTAAAAAAAAGTTCGTAAATATTTTCTGTGATATCAAGTCCAAGTTTTGAAGAATATGAAACAGATCAAATAGTACGGAGGCAAGTGCTGTCCACACTCCATCAGACAACGGATTAAATTCTTTATTATCAAGTCATTCCCACACAGTTAAAACAATTATTTTTAAGTATAGTTACGAGTACAGCAAGACATGTAAAGCTAAAATGTGGTATCAATGAATCAAAAAGATAAAATGTGGAATTTATCAAATACAGTGATAGCGCTTTCTTCAGATAATCCCCAGTGATGCTAAAGTTGTTAAATAAAGGTCAGGACTAAAATCAGTTAATACTCCTTCGAACGACAGATTTTTAATCGTAATGTGAAGGTTTGGAAAGTACACAACAAATAAAAAATGTTATTTGTGTTACTGACATCAAGTGATTATATTTTGGGCCATTTGTCTTTTCAGACCCTCAAATAAAAAATATCCGTTCATTATGTTAATAACGAAGTATTCAGAACCACTTGACTTCCAAATTGAGTTTAAACACTAATGTGTTTTCATTTCGATTTGCTGATTTATGTTATCTACCTCGTGTACAGGACATATTCATTAAGCATGCAAATAAGATTTTTAGTTTATTGATTTGAATAGAGGGAATATCTACTTAGTGCTTCATTTATCCAGGAAAGTTGAAGCGAAAATACTGTCATACTTCATATTACAAACCGATAATAGAGTAATTTTAGCATTTTTACTATTTTGTAGACCAATAAAATATTTACTAGTTAACTATCATGTTGAAAATCTTGAAATTTGTGTAAAATCCTAGAGTTGTCAGGTTTCCTAAAGTTACGAAAACTTTATTATCTTGACTTAACGGTAGAAGTATTGTTTGATTGATGTTAGACATTAACATCGTTGGATGCTGGCTCAGTGGTCTGTCGGTTAAGTGCTCTGGCGCGAGACTGGTAGGTACTTGGTTTGAATATCGCGAGGCGGGATCGTGGATGCGCACTGCTGAGGAGTCCCACAGTAGGACAAAACGGCCGTCCAGTGCTTCCAGGTTTTCCATGGTGGTCTAGCTTCAATTGACTCATGATCTCAACTATATAAAAAATATTGTAATTTAAGTTGAAGCAACACTGATACCATGTTATTCATAGCTGAAATGTTTCATCAGAAAATGTATTAATTAATTAATTATGGTCACGTTAAAATTATGTGTTCACTGAAATATCTACACAAGAAGATTTATAGAAAACTTATGAAAAAGCGTTTTTACAAAACACCAGTTTTAACTAATTTCCAGTTAGTTGCTTATTGCTTCAGAGACATAAGATCGCATAGTTATAAAGCCCAGTTGTAAAAAAATTCAACAAAACAAATGACTTAGTCACAGTATATTGGGAATATCCGAGAGTTGAAAGTGGGAACTATTGAATGGTGACTAGTGTTAATCACGGAACCTGAAGTTCTTGAGTTCGACTACTAGAGTAGTCGTGACTGGAATCTAATGAGTAGTTTTAAACTGTTCTATCCTTCCTCGTAATAAATAAATGTCTAGCTGAAGTCAGTATTTAATGACGAGCATTTTTCAAATGTCACTTACCAATCCATAAGTGAATTCAACATATCATCAGGTAATGGTAGGTGATGAGCTAAGCATATGCGCCTTATTGCATGACGGTCCATTTCACCTGTTTTATCGGCATCTTGTTGGCGACAGGCAGTCATTAAACTGGAGAAATCTTCAAATGCTTTTCTACGAAGTGTTTGTTGTGCAATCCCAAGTAAAATTTCAAGCCTTATTTGCTTGGATGGTCTAAAGTTAGAATAATGACTATAATTAGTAAATGAAACAAACTTATATAGATGTAAAATAATTTTGTTCTACTTAATACAGCCGTGGACTCCTATCTTAGTCTATATTCCTTTTTCAAAGTTTCACTTACCACCTCTGTGATGTATCCATACCAACTAAATGGTCATTGGTTGGAGAGAAGTTAGTTTTTATTATCGACATATTGTCATCCAATCCATTAGTGAACTGGAACACGTTTATTAGATTGTACTTAGATCTTTTTCTTCTACCTTCTTTGTCAGTTGGTCATTGAGTCAACTTTATTCTGGGTCATTCAAATAGTATACTCTTGCTTATAAATTCAACCGTTTTTTAAAAATCACACATCACTTGATAATTCAAGTTATTGTCTTACTATTTCTCAAGCTCTGTTGTGATGAATGTTACTTTATCTGTTTAGATGACGCAAAAAAGCTTATACATTTACTTTGCAGTTGATTATGTTATAAACTGTTTCATTTATTCTTTTCCATTGTATGTATGAGATATATGTATTATTCCTTTCTATCAGTAAACTGAACCACTTTATGCATGTTACTCGTAGAATCATATTCATAAAACTGCATGTTTAGAAAATCTATGTGCATATGAAAGACTTGGAGTAATATGAAGTAGAATGAAACTTACTTCAACAACATATAACTCTGACAAGACGTTTGATTGTCTTTCTGTTGGGGTGATCCAGAAAACTTCTCTCAATAGACATGAAAGGCTCAAGAAACATTAAGAGGCATTTTATCCAATTAGTGTTCACTAGAAGTTTTGCCAGAAACATCACCAAAGTGAAAAGTCACATGTAGAGTTTCTGAGTAACTGATTACTACACTGCTACTATGTTTAGTAGCATTCCAGAATTTTTGGGAAAACCCAAGGACTTCCAAAATATTATAAAAACCCTATATTTTCTGTACATAAATGAACCTTTGGAGTAAAGTTCTTCTTGCATATTTTGCGACTTTTCTCTCGTGTTCAAGTTGATGTGTAGTTTTAGCTTAGGAGTTACGAGAATAGCTTAGGAACTGAATATAGCGTTTAATTAGCAAGACTTATCACTTTCAAAGGTCAAGGATAATTTGTGAAATCATGAAGTCTGCTTGCTTTCTCATTAGATATCTAATTAAGAGAGTAACAGGATTGCTTTGAATTCTAATCAGTTTCTTTTATCATATTCTATTCAGGTATAGATACACAGAGAAACAGAGAAAAAGACAATCATCGTGTGTTTTAACAACAAATAAATAACGCCTACCTAACACCATAATGTCTTGCCAATGTACCAAGTTCATGGGTTGTTAACGCATTTTCTTTACCAGTCAACTGATTAATTAAATTTATCATTTGATCAAAGCCAAATGTCCCTGTATCATCTGGATCTTGATTTACAGCATACTTGATAATTTCATCATGTTGTTCATTGTTCAATATTGTTATTAATTTATTCAATATTAATTGACAGTCAGCTTCTTTAAATTGTGTTTTATGTTTCTCCATGTAGTCTAATGTATAATCATCGGCTTCAGTTAATTCAAATAGAAATGAATTGAAATCCAGTTTAGCACCAACATATAAATCTGTAGGTTTATAATATTCCAATGGTTTGTTATCAAATAATTTACTGTCAGGTTTCTTTATTTTTGATCGTTCTAAGAATAAACCACCTTGGAAACCTTGAAAGAAAGAAGTATTATTGGTTGAAGGAGTGAAACTGTATTTACAAGGGTGAGAAGGTGCAAATTATTGGGGGCAAAATTAGAAACTCAACTAATTAGCTTAGCAAAATGTTGTACTAAGGGTTAAAGATTCACGTAAAAGGGACAAACTAAATGATCACCTCTTGAATAAAAACCGACCAGTATAGTGAAAGTAACAATTTTTCAAAAGTAATTATCATCATGAGCCAATGTTCCTCGGACATTGGTTAAAAATTCAAAGTGCACTGGATGACAATTTGGTTCTATAGGTCTTTCAGCTAGTACGAAATAATTTGATCATTAAACCCAAATCTAGTGGTTTATATTTTAAATGGTACTCTTGATTATTACCACATGGTGTTGTTTTTTGTAAAACATGCAGATGCTACATTCATTCTCATTCGGAATCTAAAACAAAATAGCTATCCGGTCTTTGTTAGGCGTTTTAGTAGCTCTCCAGCCGATGCTAGTTTGTAATAATAATCAATTTTGTGTTTCAACGCTTAAACATTTGTTTCTGGTCATTAGAAGTCGGGAAGTTTAGAAGAAGCTTTACTTCGAGGCCTTTTTGTTTATAGGAACTTCAGATTGTAGAAGCTTCTAAAACTTATGCTAAAATTGATGAATAGTTTAGTAATTGTTCAACCTGGATGAGTGAATTGTAATTAGTTTCCGAAATGTTCTCAGTATTTTTCAAGCTTCTAAAGACATATCTAGGGAGTTATTGAGGGTTTCTAAAAAACTAAGATTCCGTTTAAACAGAAAATAATCTTTGAAAAACTATTTATTTAACTCGTAAGTATTTTTTTTTGGATATCCTCTTACTGATTATTTAAACTTGACAAGTTATACAAAAATATTAAGTTGGGTGAAACAAATATCAGGGTAGTTTGGATCAAGAGATGTCAAGGTAATGTGGTTGTAATTCTAAACTAGGTGGCTCTGAAACGGTTTTAGTTTCTATGCCCGCCTTCTAAACTGTAAGAGTATAAACATATTACATGTCGGTGCTTACACGCGACCTCAAGATTGAATATTAGGTAAAGTTATAAATGAGACACGCTATTGAAAGAAGTCGATGCACGACTTGAGGTCTTAATCTACGTGTCCTTTTCTGAATAAGAAAGGTAAATGTGTTAAACAATATGGTTTATGTTCATCATAGTTCAGTTTTGCAACTTAACATACCTATTCACGTGGATATTGGGTTTAGTTTATCGTAGGAAGTGTATAGTGTAACTGAATCGGACGACAGAATAGAATACTATCTGACAATCTGAACGATAACATGATTATTCTCATTGTGATAATTGAAGGACACGTATGCTACGATGAGTTTAATTAAACGAAATGATGATGATGCCGATAATAATTACACTAAACTAGAGAAAGCATCAAGCTAGGAATTATTACTTGTACAAGTTGTGAGAAGAGTCTTGTACACAAAACAAAATGAATAACTCACTATTTAATTAAAATAAAAACTGCTACTAGTAAAAATACGATGAGTAGAAATACTTAAAATATACATAAAACTAATATTTACACTTTTCCTTTAACTGCAACAAAGAGTGAATTTTGTTGTGAAACAATAGTTGGTGAAGATTATGGAGGATGGAAGAATTAAACACATAATACAGATTTATTTAAATTTAGTCCGAAAATTCTTATTTTGATTGCCACTGTTATAGTTAGTAAATGAAGAAATAGAAACATTAGAAACCTCAATAGCAACATATCGATAAGTCTTGCTAATTAAACGCTATATTCAGTTCCTAAGCTATTCTCGTAACTCCTAAGCTAAAACTACACATCAACTTGAACACGAGAGAAAAGTCGCAAAATATGCAAGAAGAACTTTACTCCAAAGGTTCATTTATGTACAGAAAATATAGGGTTTTTATAATATTTTGGAAGTCTTTGGGTTTTCCCAAAAATTCTGGAATGCTACTAAACATAGTAGCAGTGTAGTAATCAGTTACTCAGAAACTCTACATGTGACTTTTCACTTTGGTGATGTTTCTGGCAAAACTTCTAGTGAACACTAATTGGATAAAATGCCTCTTAATGTTTCTTGAGCCTTTCATGTCTATTGAGAGAAGTTTTCTGGATCACCCCAACACATATGTATATAATGGTGATTGTTGAACTTTCATTGATTTCATATTTTGTATTGAACCTTTATCTAATCATTCTGGACAAAGTCCGAGAAAGCGGTGATGGACTTTCTAATCCATTCTACTCATTTAGTTATATTAATCACAGGAACAGCTAAATTTATAAGTACGTATAGAGGTGGCTTATCTTTTAATTGTATGGAGAGTAAACAACAGAGGGTATAAACGATATGAAATTTGAGTGTCCGTCCATAATCTCTCTTGGTTTTGTTTTTAATACTTTGATAATTATAATTGATTTGAATTGAAGTATAAAAACTAATCATTTTTTAGCAGTGGAATCCAGTTTGATGCGCGTTTCGTCCAATTTGGGACTCGTCAGCTGGATGCACCTGCATCTCAGGGTTGATATTCACTCTGGGACTCGAACCCAGTACCTTTCGCTTCAAACACCATCGCGTTATCCACTCGGCCACATTGATGGGAAGATTCAAACTAACAATACTAAATGAATGTAAACTTCACCCCATCGCAAAAGCAAGTGGCTATTAGGACTCAGTAGGTGAGTGGATAACGCGATGGCGTTTGAAGCAAACTGTACTGGGTTCAAGTCCCAGAATGAACATCAACCCTGAGATGCAGGTACATCCAGCTGACGAGTCCCAAATTGGACGAAACGCGCGTCAAACTGGATTCCACTACTAGCCACCATCCATCTTTGCTTACCATGCTAATGAATTGAGGCTATATCGAAGCAATACGCACAGTATGCACATACGCCAATTAGAGACTGACCAGTTGCAGTCCTAACACATCGATGATAAGATTCAAATAAACAATACTAGATGAATCTAATCGTTTTTTGTTGCTCATTGATGTTGAATGATTTTCTGTTTTTACTTTGATTGTATTAACCTTGATAAACTATTCAAAATAATCATTTTTTCATACCAAGTCATATGTACTATTGTTATTACTTCTTCAACAGTATTGTATATGTTTGTCCTAAGTTACTAAACTATAGATGGAATCCTTATTGTACTGAAGGGAAAGAAAACAATTTACGTTAATGTATTTTTTCAACGTTAGATTTTTCTTGTTAAACTCCTCGTCTTACACTGTCATCTATCCTTCTTGATATTAAAAGATCGAAAAATATCACACATTCAAAATATTTATGAATTAAAAAAATTTCATTTAGGGATTGACAATAATAAAATTTTCATAGTTGAGATCATGAGTCAATTGAAGCTAGACCACCATGGAAAACCTGGAAGCACTGGACGGCCGTTTCGTCTTATTGTGGGACTCCTCAGTAGTGCTCATCCAAGACCTCACCTCACGAGATTCGAACCCAGGACATACCAGTTTCGCGCCTGATCACTTAACCGATAGACCTCTGAGCCAGCATCCATGGTGTTAATGCCCTGGTTCCGAACTTCGGGAGGTGAGATCGTGGATGCGCACTGCTGAGAAGTCCCACAATAGGACGAAACGGCCGTTCAGTGCTTCAAGATTTTTCCTGGTGGTTTAGCTTCGATTGACTCACGCTTTCAACCATGAAAATACTAAATCACCACAAAAACCCCCTTCTTACAAAATAATAAAATTCTCATAACATAAATCAAAACCGATATATTTGTAATATAAAGGCTCTTTATTGATCTTATTACCTAATGAACTATTTCCAGTCTTTACAATAGTTATTTCATCAAACAAGAATCCTAAAATAGAATCCATTACTATATCTGCTACCAATTATTAGTAAATTTCATTATGGAGAAAAGTGTGAATAATCACTGTACTTAGTGTTATTACTGATGTACCTAGTTGTTTTTTCTTTTATAATACCTATTCAAAACTTAGTTCATTATTCCTACCAAAGGAACCTTAAGAACAAATAAGGTGACATTCAGAAGATTCATTGATTTGTCTTGTTAAATAGTTTGTCATGAGAAGGAATCACTAAAAAATATTCACTTTGTTCATCAATTCCTTATTTATATTTACTTTGCTTGCAACAGGACATTCTTTAACAATTGGATTCACGCGCGAGACCGTTATGTCCTGCGTTCGAATCTCGCGAGACTGGATCGTAGATGCGCACTGCTGAGGAGTGCCATACTGGGATGAAACGGCAGTCCAATGCTTCCAGGTTTTCCATGATGGTCTAGCTTTAGTTGACTCATGAATTCAACTATTAAATTGTTAAAATTATTACCCAAACAATAAGTTATATTAAACATTCTTTGTTTATGTTATTGCTAGAACGTTTGAATCCATAACCTAAAATTACATTTGTATGTAACATTTAAAGTGCCCTTAAATTTATATAACCTTGAACTTCTAATGATTCATAGAAATAGATAATAAATTAATTTGGCAATTCAATCTAGAAATTTCTAGTTTCTTATAACCTGTGTTTAAACTAAAGTATTTTGAGAAGCCTTATGCTTACGTAACAAGGTTTTTTTTATAAAGACTTTGTATTACGTAAAATCAATCATCTTTTGAAAATCTTTGTTGTGAAAACTTCGTTTGTTTAAAACATATATGTATAGATAACTTTAATAGTTTAATACAATTCGGATATCATAACAAGTACTCCATCAACTTCAAAAAAGAAATAGCCAGACTCGAACCTTAGAATAATGATTAGCTCTTTTATTAGTTGAAAATTAGTTAGTGATCTATAGCGAACTGAAGACTCACTAAATATTTAGGGCTGAATAGATTCCGGTTTAAGAAACAAATAAAAGGACACAGTTTAGATGATGACTGGCCGTGTGCTTGGTTATATCTGGGATTCGTCAGTCGGATACATTAGAAGTGTAAATCATTACTATTATGAGTGGATAAAAAACTGAAAAGATTGATATCCTGAAGAATAAATAATCATCATTCTGAATAGGGGGAAAGATTGGAAAATAAAATATCTAACCTGAATTCTTTTGTTGAGGTTCAAAAATTGAAATTGTATCATCTGACAAGTAGCAACTAATCACAAACTGACGATCACGATCTATCGGTCGTCCAGACAATAAACGTCCAGCGAAACGTAATATATGAGATTCTAAACCTTGACGATCTAATTCCATGAATTTCTTAAAATTATGATTTGGTGCTTTTGGTATTAAACTGTAACAATTAGCTAGTGAGTCTTCATCAGTACCCCAACCGTTATATGGCGGAATTTCACGTTTCACAGTGGCTATATGATCTTGAAGCTTAGGTTTAACTGGGGTGAAATCTTCTGCAAAGAATTAATAAAAATCAATCGTAATAAATCATAAACATTAATTTTCAAAGAGAACTTGTATGAGTTTTGTATTGGTTGCATAGATCATCCTATTGATGTTTACGACTGAAATTGATCAGTTATCTCACCTTATAGAACTTGAATCAGTAGGTCGGTCAGTCAAAAACAACACTGGAATTGTCAGCACTGTGAATAAGATCAGATACTCACAACTTTCGATTTAGAGGATAATAGGGAAAAATAAATCTATGCCATTGAAACTGATGTTGAGTAGTGTTACTTAAGGTCTTTTGATGCATTCTAGTATTATCTGATAGGAGTATTTTACAAACAGAAGTATAGCCTATTAGCTATCACTTATATCTGTATTAACTTCCTCATATTTCTATTTTTGCACATTTAATTTAAGTTAATGACTCTAAAGCTAAATTATGTATAAACATAGAACAGTTGTAGGATTGGCAAAGCAAGGGCAACATTTCTACAATTGAAGAACATATGGAACTCAAAACAACTGTCATCTAACTTCAAAGTGAGAATCTTCAATACGAACATCAAGACAGTCCCACTGTACGGAGCTGAAACGTGGAGAACTACTATATCCATTGTCAAGAAGATACAAGTATTTATAAACAGTTGTTTACGCAAAATACTCAACATCCACTGGCCGGATACTATCAGCAACAGCGTTTTATGGGAGAGGACAAACCAGCCTTCAGCTGAAGAGGAAATTAGGAAAAAACGTTGGAAGTGGATAGGACATACATTGAGGAAATCACCAAACTGTATCACGAGGCAAGCCCTAATTTGGAATCATGAAGGGAAGCGGAAAAGAGGAAGGCCAAAGAACACATTACGCCGGGAAATAGAATCAGATATGAAAAGGATGAATAACAACTGAAAAGGACTGGAAATAATTGCCCAAGACAAAGTTGGATGGATAATTCTGGTGAGCGGCCTATGCTCCACCACGAGCGGTAACAGGCGTAAGTAAGTAAGTAATAGAACAGCTGTAATTATGAGTATCACTTCTATTCTTTTTTAATAATTAGTAATAACCAATTTTGGATGATTTAGATGATAATTCATTCTTTTAATGTCATCTAACTTAATATAAGTTATGTACCATTATTAAGTCACTTAAATTAATGGACATAATACAGCCCTAATAAAATGAGTTTAAGTAGTCATGTGGACTAAAAAACATGGCATATTATTGAAATAATTATATAAATAGTTTTAGCTACTCGTAAGTAGTTTACTTTGTAAGTGATTAACATCATGGACTAGTTAAAGCCAGACTATGATCAATAAATAGAAATCTGTGGACAGCTATTTCGTTTCAGTATAGGACTGCTCAACAGTGTGTATAAACAGTTTTATCGAATTTTAAGTCTATGAACTTCAGGCTTCGCTAAGAGAGAGTTACACTTATATTGCCAAGTTGGTTTCGGATGGACCACATTACCAGCTGAATTTTATTCGTAATATCGAGTGATTATCAAACATCGGGATTTATGATGCCTGTCTCACATAGCAAAGCCTGTAGTTACTGGTAGTTATCAGACGTTAATGAATTTTAATAAAGGACTAAAAATTATTAACTTGTTGTTCACAGTTGTTCACAGTCATGGCACGCATGAAGCAGACCGCTAGCAAGAGTACAGATGGGAAGGCACCTGGGAAGGGCCACTAAAGCTGCTCAGAAAAGTGCACCAGCTACAGGTGGTGTTAAAAAACCAAATCGTTATCGCCCTGAAACAGTAGCTTTACGTGAGATTTTTCGTTACCAAAAATCAACCGAGCTGCTTATCCGGAAACTGCGTTTCCAGCGTTTGGTTGGGGAGATTGAGCAGAACTTTAAAACCGACCTACGTTTCCAAAGTTCGGCAGTTTCTGCTCTTCCGGAGGCAAGCGAAGCCTATTTTATCGATCTCTTCGAATTATCAACCGCCTGACTAAATTTGGTCAGTGATAGATACTACCGTCAAATAGAACAATTTCCACAAACTTTTCACATTGTTAAGTTATTTGAAATGATCTATCCTCATATAATATGGGACTTAGTTGAGAACAACATATTTACTTTGTACTAGCATCCGGATAACTAATCATCATAATGCAAATAGTAAATTACTGACTTACGTATACCATATTTGATACGATAATACTCTTTAGTAAATTCATCACAATCGTATATTAAAAACTTTCTACCATAAACATTAATATTTGCACCGATTATTAAATCATTATCTTTATAAAAATTATCTTTAGGTGCACCAAGCTAGTTTTAATGAAATGAAGAAAAAAAGAGGGTCATTCATTTTAATTTTGATATATTATTAAAATAAAATATCTAAAAAAATAAACAAAGATAGTAGTCAATCTTTTTTGAAAGGTTATATTCCTTAAGTTTAGTTTTCACCTCCTTTTAAATTATCTTAAATAATTTTTTAATAAATGAGACCATGAGTCAATGGAAACTAGACCACCGTGGAAAACCTGGAAGCACTGGATGGCCGTTTCGTCCTATTGTGGGGCTCCTCAGCAGTGCGCATCCACGATCCCGCCTCGCAAGATTCGAACCCAGAACCTATCATCCTCTCGCGCGAGCGCTAAACCTCTAGACCTCTGGGCCTAAAATAAAGCGAAACGGCCGTCCAGTGCTTTCATGTTTTCCACGGTGGTTTAAATTCAAATGATTCATGATCTCAACTATTAGAAAATTAATATAATATCTATAGGAACCCTTTCTGATCAACAAAAAGTAAATATGATTTGTTGGATTTCATTGAGAGACAATATTGACTGAATATTGACTAAATGATTAAATATTACATGTTAGATATTTCAAAATACTAAGGAACTGATTATTTAGAATTCTTCATGTTATACCACGACAAGAATAATGAATGGTAAATGTTACGGTCCGTTTATGGACTATTATGATACATATATTTTTATTGTATAACTTTTAATTAACCAAACTATTCATATTCGTGTCCTTTTTATTATAAGCTTTATTTTGACCTATGAACTATTATTATATGACTTATCGTTCTTGAGTTATACCCAGTCTATTAATTTATCTTCCTCATATTCACAGCCACTTTTGGCTGAATTTTATACAAATGTCATTTTCTATTTTACTGTACGATGTGGTCTGTTTGATTGGTATATAAGCTCAGTATGTTTGAAATATAATGATTTATACCTCAGAGACTGAGATCGGTGTTCTGGACTTAACTGGCTGGACTAGGCAGAAAGCAGGATCGATAAGTATTCCAGACTGCTCTCACGGGTTTCGTGTGTCATGGGTCCGATCGATAAATTTCTGCTCTCTAATTGGCGGTATTATCACGTTCTACATTAACAGGACATCCAGGTGGCACAAGTTATAACCCTTCATAATAGATTTCGGTGATGGAAATGAAAGTGTTTATCATTGAGAACTAGGATTTCATTTGATATTCATTCAATTTGTTAAAAAAATATTGAATTGTTATACACCATGTCGAGTGTTGCAGCCATTCTAGGGGATTTAAAATTAATGTGTTCTTACTAAAACCTGGTGTAACAGACTAGAATTACATGATAATTATGAGCGGGTTAAATTAAAATTATGCATCGACCACAAACAATTTGTTTACTTCTGTACATTGCAACTTGATCGATACAATTCAATCTTTACTAAGAGGGATCTGACTTACTTACTTACTTACGCCTGTTACTCCCAATGGAGCATAGGCCGCCGACCAGCTTTCTCCAACCCACTCTGTCCTGGGCTTCCTTTTCTAGTTCTATCCAGTTCTTGTTCATTCTTCTCATGTCTGTCTCTATTTCCCGGCGTAATGTATTCTTTGGTCTTCCTCTTCTCCGTTGACCTTCAGGATTCCATATGAGGGCTTGTCTTGTGACGCAATCAGCTGATTTCCTCAAGGTGTGCCCCATCCACTTCCAGCGCTTCTTCCTGATTTCTTCCTCTGCTGGAATCTGGTTTGTTCTCTCCCACAGTAACTTGTTGCTGATAGTGTCTGGCCATCGGATCCGAAGTATCTTGCGTAGACAGCTGTTAATAAACACTTGTATCTTCTGGATAATGGCTTTCGTAGTTCTCCACGTCTCCGCCCCATACAGTAGAACTGTCTTGACATTTGTATTGAAAATTCTAACCTTGGTGTTGGTTGACAATTGTTTTGAGCTCCAGATGTTTTTCAGTTGCAGATATACTGCTCTTGCTTTGCCGATCCGCGCTCTCACATCTGCATCTGATCCACCGTGTTCATCAATGATGCTGCCCAGATATGTAAAGATTTCCACATCCTCCAAAGCTTCTCCGTCAAGTGTAATTGGATTGGTTCATATTGTATTGTATCGAAGAGTCTTGCTTTTCTCTTTGTTTATATTGAGACCCACTGCTGCTGAGGCTGCTGCTACACTGGTCGTTTTCTCCTGCATTTGTTGTTGCGTTTGTGATAGAAGAGCCAGATCATCCGCGAAGTCTAGATCGTCAAGCTGCATCCTGCCTGTCCACCGTATCCCGTGGTTTCCTCCAGATGTTGACGTCTTCATGATCCAGTCGATCACCAGGAGAAAGAGAAACGGTGAGAGTAAGCAACCTTGAATAACACCGGTCTTTACTTCAAACGAGTCGGTGAGTTGTCCTCCGTGGACGATTTGGCAGTTTAGTCCATCATAGGAGTTCCGTATGATATTTACTATCTTCTCAGGCACACCGTAGTGTCGAAGAAGCTTCCATAGTGTCGTCCTGTCCACGCTATCAAATGCCTTCTCGTAGTCGATGAAGTTGATGTAGAGTGATGAGTTCCATTCGATTGATTGTTCCACAATGATCCGCAGAGTTGCGATTTGATCTGTGCACGATCTATCCTTACGAAATCCAGCTTGATGATCTCGAAGTTGGGCGTCCACGGAATCCTTCATCCTGTTTAACAATACTCGGTTGAAGACTTTTCCTGGTATTGAGAGAAGAGTGATGCCCCTGTAGTTGTCGCACTTGCTCAGGTCGCCTTTCTTTGGTATCTTGATCAGAAGTCCTTTTTTCCAGTCTGTTGGTACTTGTTCTTCGTCCCAAATCTTACTGAAGAGGATGTGGAGTATCTTGGCAGTTGCTGTTACATTTGCTTTCAGTGCCTCTGCCGGGATGTTGTCTGGTCCCGCTGCTTTGCCACTCTTGACTTGTCTAATGGCCATGCTGATCTCTTCAATTGTTGGTGGGCCAATGTCGATTGGGAGGTCCATGGGTGCTGCTTCGATGTTGGGTGGGTTCAGTGGGGCTGGTCGATTCAAGAGTTCCTTGAAGTGTTCTACCCACCTGTTTCGTTGTTCTTCAATGTTGTTGATTACTTTGCCATCCTTGCTTTTCACTGGTCTTTCTGGCTTACGGTAATTTCCAGCAAGTTTCTTTGTTGTATCATACAATTGTCTCATGTTTCCCTCTCTTGCAGCCTTTTCCACTGTCGTTGCTAAATCTTCAACATATTTACGTTTGTTGGTTCTGATGCTCCTCTTCACTTGCTTGTTTGCCTCTGTGTATTCGACTTGTGCCTTGGCTTTTTCCGCTCTGGTTCGGCTGATATTGATTGCTGCCTTCTTGTTCCTCCTTGCTTCAATCTTATCCAGTGTACCAACAGTGATCCATTCCTTATGATGGTGCTTCTTTTGGCCCAGAACCTCTTGACACGTTGAAACGATTGCCTCCTTGATACCTTTCCAGTTGCTCTCCATGGTAGTCCCCTCTCCATTGAGTAGATCATGAAAGGCCTCGAACTTGTTGCTGAGGGCTATGTTGAATTTGTTGAGTTTGTCAGCATCTCGAAGAAAGGCCGTATTAAACTTTTGTGATGTTGTCCGCGCCGTTGTCCACTGCTTCTTGAGTTTTAGTTTCATCTTGGCGACCAGCAAATGATGATCGGATGCTATATCAGCTCCTCTTCTGGTTCTCACATCCTCCATCGTCCTCCTGAACTTTTTGTTGATGCAGATATGGTCGATTTGATTCTCTGTAGTGTGATCCGGTGAAATCCAAGTGGCTTTGTGTATGTTTTTGTGTGGAAATATGGTGCCACCTGTGACCAGTTTATTGAAGGCACATAGGTTTGCAAATCTCTCACCATTTTCGTTCCTTCCTCCCAGTCCATATTGTCCCATGACGTCTTCGTATCCAGTGTTGTCCATTCCAACCTTAGCATTGAGATCTCCCATCAGAATTGTCAGGTCCTTGGTTGGGCACTTCTCGAAGATTGACTGCAGCCTATCGTAGAATCGGTCTTTAGCGTCTTCATCGTAGTCATTGGTAGGCGCATAGCATTGGATGACGTTCATTGTAATGCCCTCTCTCTTTGTTCTGAAGAAGGCTTTGATGATCCTTGGTCCATGAAATTCCCATCCTATAAGTGCATTTTGTGCTTTTCTGGACAGCATCAATGCAACTCCTTGTGTATGTGGGGCATTTTCTTCTTCATGACCGGAGTATAACAGAAGTTCTCCTGAAGCTAGTCGCTGTTGTCCAACCTTCGTCCAATGTGTTTCGCTGATTCCAAGAACCTCCAGGTTGTATTTTCTCATTTCTGCAGCAATTTGGAAGACTCTTCCGGTCTCCCACATTGTTCGGACATTCCATGTACCTATAAAATTTTTCGCTCTGGTTGTAAGAAGGTGCATCGGCCTCATGACTTCCGAATGAACTCGGCTTTCATCATGAGACGTCATAATTATTCCTTCTACTCCCAGGGCAGAGTTTGAAAGGTTTGAATGATTTTTTCTGGTTAGCGTTTTTTTAGCGAGTTGATTTTCTACGGGATGGGGTCGCTAACCCCATGCCCAACCCTCCTCCTTTACCCGGGCTTGGGACCGGCAGTAACCCCTAGAGGAGCTACAGGTGGAGTTAAGAGGGATCTGACACATATGACATTAATCTTTACCCAATGATCAGTTTATTGTAACTTTTTGTGTCACTAAGTCAGTGAGATATAAAAATACTGCATATCCTGTAACTGATCAGAGTTATTATATAAGAAAAAATACAACACTTATATAGATATTTTATAGGTACTTGAATTTTTGCCAAAGAAAAGTAATTAAAATATTTGAACTGATTAGTATGAAAACGGAAGAAGAAACTCCGAAATAGGCCTATTCAGATTATATAGAGACCTGAGCGGAAATAATAAACTAAGTAAATTGCTACCTTATTGGTTGACACCCTAAAATGTTAGTATTTCATAAGGTCATATCTTACTAGAATTATAGAAGTAGTAATAATTAACAATTTATCATAAACTCATTTAGTCATTCAGTCAGCTACATCGTAGGACCAGGCATATATATGCATCGGTACAAGTTGCCATAATTCATTAGCACAACAAGATGAACACCGAATTCATAGTAGTTAATTTAGTGGTGGTAATATATAAAAGAAAGGTTGTATATAAGGATATGGTACAGGAAGAAAGCAATTTTAATCTCAAGGTTCACGGGAAGATAAAGAGTGTATACACCTACGCCATTGTGATCGATTCTAAGCCACGTCACCCAGAGTCTCCAACCATTGGTTACGATAGTCACGCGAACCCCAACCAAATAGTCTGCATCTACCAACATGGCTCAGACCAGCAGTTATTAACTTCAAACACTGATGCCACGTTTTAGTTTGACCGCCTCTAATTCTCTTCCGACCTTCCCTTACACTAGTCAGCATTGTGTGTTGTGGTAATCGGTGTTCCGGCAAACGTAACACATGGCCCAACCATCTCAGTCGATGAAGATTCATCGTCTCATCAACTGATTTACCATCATTTTCTAATACCCTGTGTCTAACCTCACTATAACCTACCCGGTGATCCCAGTAGATGCGAGCAATATTTCTAAGAAATCTGTAGTCAAGATTAGTAACTTACGAGTATCTTATACCCTTAATAGCCACGTTTAGCAGCTGCGATGTAGAACAGAGCGAACTGCTGCGCAGTATACTCGTCCCTTAATTGATAGACGGATATCTCGTCTTCACCATAGGTGACGTAATTTGGTAAAAGCCAAACGAGCTTTTTGAATGCATGCTGAGATTTCGTCGGACACCAACCCATTATGACTGATCAGACTCCCAAGATAAATGAAGTTGTCAACGCGTTCGACTGATTCACTCCCTATCCTTAGTTCAGGTGTTGACGCAAGTCAGCTCTGAAGCACTAATTTGCATTTAGAGGGGGAGAAACTCATTCCAAACATCTTGGCATTGTTACACAGTGCTAACAGAAGACTGCATTTTGCCAGCGTCTTTACCAAACAGTACTATGTCTTCTGTCTTTCCCACCTCTTTTGCTTTAGTTGCCCACCACTGCTCACGATCGTTCCCTAGACTTTTGGTTAACGTAGATCTGATTTGTTTTCACTCTTCGTGGTGTTCAGAATCTAATGGGATGTTTACGAGAATCCATCAGTGCAATAGACTTGGAAGAAATCCATTGGTTTTTTGTAACCCTTTGGTTTGAATTACTAATAGATGTTACTGCTGTTTCCACAGCTCTTTGTATATTCTTCTAAGCAACATCTGGGTCAGTCTCGTTTACAGAACTGCCTAGATGTGAACTCAGTTGTTTCTGGAATTCGCATTTGGCTTTCTCGTCCTCCAGTTCAATCCTAATGGGTCTTCTTAGTGTACTTTTCCTGCGTCCATTGAGGCGCAGACAAATGCGCGCTCGTATTAAGAAGTGATCAGAGTCTAAACAAGTATTCCAATACGAGCGACAATCTTCTATCGAGCCTCTCCAACGATGACTGATGACAATATGGTCTATTTGAGTCCATCGTTGGTTTGGTGCAGGTGGTCGCCATGTTAGACGATGTCTCTCCTTATGCTTAAAATTAGTGCTTGCTAAAAATAAACGATTGTCTGAGCATAGTTGCGACAGACGATCACTATTATCTGTTCGCTGAGCTGGAATACTAAAATACTCACCTAAAAGTCTTTCTGTTTGGTTTAAGCTACCTACTTTATCATTAAAGTCACCTGCAACGAGTAATACGTCTGAGCGTTTAGCTTTTTGAAGTTCAGAAAGCTTTCTGTCAAAGTCATCTTCGAGTTCATCTGGGCTGCAGTCAGTGGGAGCGTAGGCAGAGACGACGAAAAGGCAACGACGTGTGTCCCTATCCTTCCGAGTTCTTACGGAGCCATTTAGCCGGACAGCACACAGGCGACTGTTAACGGGAATCCATTCTAGTAGTGCCTGTTCTGCTCTTGTACTTAGTGCTATGCCTACACCTGCAAGTCCACGAGAACTAGCCAACGGGTCGCCTGGTACACGGAGGGTGTATTTCGTTGGCTGTCCATTTTGGCGAGGTGAGGTCAAGTGAATGACCACACCACACCATGACCACCTCATTTGTATTTTATTGTAGTATATCATAGTATTTAGATATTTAGTAATGTTATGAGTATCTATTAAATTTCAATACTTTTGATTAGAAACTAAAGTTCATGAAAAATACCAGCTATATTTGCAAGAGATGATTGATTGTAACCTTTTTAGATGATAAAAAACCTAAATGGTTGTACGCTTTTAGTAAGAAGAACCTGTGGCTTTGATTCGTTAGTCTAAGACATAGATAGTTTTTGACAACTGAATGGTAACCAAACATAAATTTCACTTACGGCGTCAAGTTTGGGATTCATTTGTCTAAAGCTTTTCGGATTACCTTATTGTAAAGAGCAGCTTGTTGATTTCTAGTGATAATATCTGTAAAGTGGTTAGGTGTTGGAACTTTGCAGGACATTTATTAAACAGTCCTGTTACTAAAATAAAAATCAGGGTTTCGAATCCTGTAACATACTAGCTTTCTTTACATAAGTCATTATTACTATTGAGGAAGTATTCAAACTGATTTACCAAACAAAACTATCTCAGACAATTAATCCAAATAAGCCCTCGGTAACGACTAGTATTTTCATAGTTGAAAGCGTGAGTCAATTGAAGCTAGACAACCAGGGAAAACCTGGAAGCACTGGACGGCCGCTCCGTTCTATTATGGGACTTCTCAGCAGTGCGCATGTACGACCTCGTCTCACCTCGCCACGAAACGGCCGTCCAGTGCTTCAAGGTTTTCCTTGGTGGTCTAGCTTCAACTGACTCACGCTTTCAACTATGAAAATACTAAATCTCCACAAAAAACCCCTTCTGATAATAATGACTAGTATGACAATTTCAATCATACAACATAGAATTTCTGTGAAAGTATTTGTATCTATATTATCATTATTTTAAAAAAGAATGGAAAGTTTTATTTTCTTTTAATATTACCTTTAAACTATCGAGTACATAATGTCCACCTCTTTGTGGATGACCAAATACATTTAATAATGTTCTGTCGGTCACTACACCAGGCAACGGTATTGGAATAACTGTACGAGGTAGCTTTTGACGGCGTAAAAAGCATGGAACAGCATCACGACCTGAGTTAGCTGGTATAATTTCACGTATTTCAATTGTATCGTCCGCTGAAAAAGACAATAAAAGTCAAACTATGTTTTAGTGTCAAATGATTAAAAAAACAGCTTCGTGTTTATACATATGGCATAGCGATTGTTGACAATAATTATATGACATGTCTTTAGAGAGATTGGATGACTTTTAACTTCTGAAATTTATGGACTTTCTTCTCGGAGATTTTGTAGTATGTTTAGAATGTATTCCAGAAGTGGAAAATAGAACTTTGAAACTTTTAGTCTGCTTCCTACAATCATTCTATTTAGCTGCTGGTAATTTCAACAAGCTAGAAGACTTATTGTTCGTACTGCCAAGTATACAACCACCTTTAATAAAACTTTAATTTTGGTAATATCTAACTCATCAACAGTTAGCGATGTAAAACACTGTTTTACAATCAACAGACGACTTGGTTATTATGTTAAAATAAATTTGATCAATTGGAGCTGTAAATGATAAGTTGCTGGTCAATGGTCTTATAATCTTTATTTAACAGATCTAGGTAAATGAGATCCTGAGTCAACCGAATGAATAGGGAATTAAAATTATGATTTATATACAGCATTTTCAACCTGTACAGTAGAAAATCAGTGATTAATTATGGATGAAAATGAATGTTCTGAAAACTGGCAAGATGGTCTTTCATTTCAATACATCAAACAAACAGACATGTGTTTAAAAAAACATGTTCTTCTTAATCACTTGTTCGCTTACCTAGAAAATAATTTAATATCATTTCTCTAGGATCACCATAAAGTGATTCTGTATCATCCCAAAAGCAGAAAAATCTTAACACATGACGATCATGGTCAAGAAATTGACGACGTTTATCCATTCTTTCATATGGTCTGAGTGGTTGCATACTCTCAGTAAACTAATACAAAATGAAAACATTAAATGCTTGATAGATTAAATTTTTTACTTTTTACAAGGTATATAATAATGAAATGAATATTCTAAAGTCTGTAGGTTTTTTCAAATCATTGTGAATGATAATTTTTTGTATAATTACTAAATAACTAGATTACTACGTGTATACATTCCATTTACTATAAGATTTTGATTAACTTATAAACTACTACTGTACGGTTTATTATTCCTAGTTTGTCAACGGTTGGTTGGTTATAGTCTCCCCCATTTAAAGACACTTTTGGCTTATTTATGTATAGTTGGGACTTTTGATTTTATGGTGTGATGCGGCCTGATATGACTGTTTATAAATAATGACGGTTTAGAAAGTAAATATCGTAGAAGCTGGTCGCTACTTCTGGACTCAGGGCATGGCATAGATTGGAGCTCTTGAATAACGAACCTGGAAGAATTTGGCTCTCCTTTTCAGGTTGGTAGTGCCGGTTGGGCGTGTAATTGGTCTCTTTGGGTATGTTAAACTGCCGTGAAAATAGTAGACGCGAAGAGGACCAAATTACAATTCGTATTCTGATTGTTGACCGGACATTTGATATTAGTCAGCGGGTCAAAAGATATAACGGAGTAATAATAGAAAATCCGAAACAGAATGTATCATGAAACACATGAATATTTTTCGTACTAAGTGGTACAGTCATCGGTACCACTCCTAGTTTGTATAAATAAGATATTAAAATATTTCCATACAGTGGCTTTTTTTAAACATGAAAATATAATTTTGGACTGCTTTTTTGACTAGCCTTGTCTAAAAAGTAGTGATAGTAATGTATTTGACACGTAAAGAAAACAAATGTGAATTGCGACTTCAACATCTTGATAGAATTTGATTTTACGAAGACTTTACCCAATAAACCTTAACTTATGTACACTACTCACGTAAATACTCGCTCCGATATTTGATTGTATACCTTCTTTTGATCAACTTTAGTTATAGTTCAGTGTGATTAAACTAAAATCTGCCCCTCATTTTATATTCATGCCCTTTATTTTAAATGTAAAACACGTGCAGAGAATGCCTTTAAAATATTTACCATCAAATTCATGATCCAGTTAAATAATCGTATTAAACCACACAAGCCAAAATAATTCATTAGAAGGGTTTGTAGTCACTTTATAAAAAGACAAAATAATTAATTTTCAGGCAACTCTAAGTTTCTTTTAGAGGATTTATTTATTTCTTCCTGACAAGCATCAAGACAGAGTTCAACACAGGACTTCCTATGAAGCGTATTCAAATAATCAACATAGTCATCTTTCACGAGTTTCCAGCAAATCTAAATTTCGAGGATTGGAATAAAGTGGCAAAGCGAATAAAACTATAAAAGGCGAATACACAGTTTTAATGAGTTGAGATGAAACTACGTTTATGTTTTTTGAAAGAGAACTAAGCCTGGAACGTTTTTCATTCACTGGAAAATGTTGATGGCAGCATTCTGACACAGAATTTCATTAACATTTTAAATGTATTCTTAAGCTATGTATAAAATGTGAGTCTTAGATTTTACCTAAATATGATCTCGATAACATTTATTTTTCAAACATTGAACAGTAAATGTATGTTTTTCGGTTTTTCATTGTGGATAGTACTTTTCCTATCCTTCAGGACAACAGTTTTACAAGAAACATGCTACTGCTTATAAAAGTCTTTTACAGAATTCAATTACACGTACCTAAAAGTGCTTTAATATAAAATTTAAAGATATATTAAAAAATATAACTTGCCATTCCTACAAGATAAATTAATTAAAACGAAACAAACATCAAACCTACTTACAGCTTTACGATGAATACTGTAAGGATCATCTGGTATTGATTCCGGTTTACCTAATGTTACACCAAGTTTACGTAGGAAATTTGATGTAAATTGATCGCAAGAGACAATTCGAAATGTTTTTCCATAAGCTACAAACTCTGTTCCCACATTGAAATCATGCACAGTATAATAGAGATGCTCATTTGGTACAGGTTTGGAAATACGGTGCCGTTTAATAATTGTTCCTTGATAAATAAGTGACATCAGAATAATTATTCTTGGATCAGTTTAATGGACTAAGATCTAGAAAAATTGTTATTGTAATGACAATGAAGGGAGTGTTAATCTATCTACTGATCAGCATTTTTAGGATAATAGGCAAAATGGTTTTCATTTTCTAGTATATAAGACAGTTTACGGAACGTATGTAAATATGACTACTGGTTAGCTGAAATCCTGTTTCTAAAACCTTACGTTTTTTAGCATAACAAATCAGTTATTCGGGTTCGCGGATCCTGTTGATGCATACACAACTCTGAAATTGCAAAAGGGCACTTAGAATAGACTGGTAATGTATAAGGAGAAAAGAATTACTGAACATTGGTTTATTTGGTATTTCACTGAGTTTTTCATGCCTAACATCCTGGAAAATTTGTCAACACCCCGATTTGTGTTCAATAATCTGTTAACCCACCCAATATTATTTCATAAAATTGGCTTTCATAGGTTATGTGAACAAGATGATGTTTGCTTCTGGCGTTTTCCAAATTAAACTGAAACATTTATTCAAGATTCATTGTCTGCGATGGTCCTTTAGCTGATAGCAAATCTGTTATGGAAACTACTAACAAAGTAACATACCATATACACCATTTATTGGAATAAATGTCAGCGATAATATAAGTTTTTTTCCAAAGGTGCTTAAAAGCGTATTGATGTAGCTAAATACTCTTTATATGTGCATATGTACAATATTCGATTTGAGGATGATAGTTCTTCACTTCGGTATTTCCTTAACACATCACTTATGTTTTAAAGTAAAGGGTACAGATAATGTAGTGTTAAACAGCATACCAGCATAAATTCTTTAAAGTCTAGTCTTAAAAACTCAAAATCAACTTTACTCACTGTAATTATCGTCTTATTTTAAAAAACATATCTTTTGGAGAATTTTATGGGGCGTTATAACTCTAGCTATGAGTTAAAATCTAGCACAAACGTCTCAAAATTCATTATCAAGTACGCGACATGAAATATGATCAAGGACGAAGAAAGCAAAGCAAAACTAGCAGACTAAGACAGAAAACATTTTTAAATATAATAAAAAAGCAGAAGCATAAATTACCCTGAGCCATTCCAGTGTTCGCAATACGTGGCTCAACTACTTGAATAGTGTCATCCTCTGGGTAAAATAAGATTTTACATTTTCTTATGCGGTATTGTTCTTCACGTCTTTCATTAACGGACTCTTGAAAATACGCATCAAAAGATAAGGCCTAGTTATAAAAGATTAGAAAATAAAGCCGTCCGTTAAATGAAAACGTGAAGGAAGTAAATTCATAGAAAGTAATGTAAACAAAAACGATCTATACAAGATTTAAGTTTAGCTAGGGCATGACTAGCAGAAAAATAATTCTAGATCCTTTACTGGAACAGTAAGTTTCCATGACGCTCTCGGTTGTTTGCAAGTAAATCCAAGTGTTTTGCACGATTCCCCAAATATTTTAAGAAATATGACACATGCATAATATCAGACATCAAATAATAAACATAAATGTTTCAAGTGGTCGCTAACTTTTATTAAATCAATACGTTTGATTAAATTTAATTCTGCGCAATGTGTATTCACACATGATAGGTAGAAAGGATCTGCTAAGGTTCACGTGTCCCTGAACATTACTTGCTTAATTTTGGGCTGCTACGAATTATGAAGAGTTTTAATCCTAATTAGATGTTGTGTTGTTCATGATCACTTGGTACCTACAATCCATACTCTCTTACTCCAAACTTTTCACATACCCGAAACCCACTTGTTCAAGACGAATCCAAACTTACTACAGATGGAAGTTACAATCGATATGATAGGTAATATCTTACTTACTCCATATCAAAATACACCAACTGTTGTATCTTAAAAGCTACATAATTATACCTACTCCAGCCTCAACAGATTATAACTACAAACAAGTATAAGGTCACTGTCAAACAAAACATTTGTGTATTCACTGCTAAATGGAAGACCTAATTACTAACACAAATATCCACTTCAAAAGTTGCGGAAAGACCATAGCATCATTGAAATAAAAGCTTTTCTAAAATTCTACGTAACTAACAAACTCACGGTATACGGAACGCTTTCCTTAATATATGAGTAATTACTTCGAAAATTGAGTTGATTTCTATTTCATCACAGAAAAAACGGAGCCTTAGTCTTGATCCTTCGAACTAGGCAGATTTCTTAAACATGGAATTTATTTTTTTATCACAAAAGGAATAACGGATTTTGAAGGCTGAAAATTAAACATATAAATACTAAACAGTTCTAAAATTAGTGGCGATTTTCGTGCCATTTTTAAGAAAAGTAAAATCACAATCTCCACAACCATGCACCAAAAAATATATATTGAATAATTGAAAAGGATCCATATAACTCATAAAAACTGACTCAAAAATCCTACGTAGACAATTGACGAGGAAAACCCACAGCATTTGAACCTAATAAGACAGAGCTGAGCGAATAAAGAAAAAATATTATTATTAATTGCGAAATTCTATAATATCTTAAACGAGCTGGTGCAAAATGATTGTCTTCTCCCTTGCAAAAACTAGCGTTAGGAAGGCAGTTTTATGTCTTTATATATTTAGCTAATCAACAGCCAGATTATGATTTATGTGGTGTACTTTAAAGCAGCTCATGAACCTCACATAAGACTTTCGTAAATTAAGTAAAACTCAGTGGTATTCAATCATTCATGATTCGATAGATCTTTTCATTCGGGAAAGACCGATATTTCATCATGATCAAAGACATCAATGTATTAAGAAAGGAAGGTTCAGGAGTGTTAGTTTTGCAGCATTTATTTATTGTTGATCATCCACCTTTTATTATAATTACTGCAACATGCTTTTGAATCACCATAATGTGCCTACTTGTTTTGCTTCGTATGTGATAAATGAAACATATAATTTTTGCCCATTTCGTACCTGTTTATCAAAAGCCAACCACGCAGGAAGCTGACTACCTATTCCAGATGGATAGACGCTAGTTGGTGCATTGATTCTTTGTCCTGGTAGTTTTTCCCCACCAATACCTGGCTTGTCATCGCCGTGCATATAGGCTTCATTGCCTTTCAGTGTTAGGTAATGTGACTTGTGGAACTTATCCTTTCCAATCTAAAGAAACACATAAGAAGAATAAGCGCTTACATTTTTATTAAAATTATAGCCAGGAAGAAATGGTAAAGCCATCGTTAGGAAGAAAAACTCATCCGTTTATATGTTTGTGCTTATTCTGAAGGTATTTCTTGTATTTAGAAAGCGTTAAAAACAATAAATGAGGTTAACTACGAAAGAAAAGAGAAAAAGAAAAATTGAGTCAAAGTTTCAGTAAGTTCGTATAATGCAATTACGTTTAATGAAGAAAAATAAATATGACAATCGAAAATATTATGAGCTTAAGACTGAGATAATGCGACGATCGAATGAAGACGTTCAAATGTATTACAAGGTATTTCAAAAAATTGCGTATACAACACTATGGTGCTCATAATTTAAAACACCACAAAGAACAGAACAAAACATCACATATTCTCAGATGGTATACAAAAGAATGCTCAATTTATAAAAATAGTAAATTATCTCTTGAATATGTAATACTGTGGGGCAAAGAACACACATCGCTAGCGTTTCAAAAAATGCAGTGATTTCGTAACTATGGAGAATCGACTCTTCTTTCTTCCACACTAATGTTCATTTTGTGTATTTGTTCAATAGGTTTCACCTTTATATCCTTTTAAAAAGGTTGGCTCTGCTCACGATTATGGAATTTCTATTTCTCCTTTACATGTGTAGGAAGAAGTGTAAGGTGGTGAGTGCGAAAAGTGGTTCTATAGAATGTGTACTAGTTTAAATCCCACTGCATACAAAAGTCACTCAAAGTCTAATACCCCTTGAATTTGTATGCTGCGCTGTTAGTGCAAGACATCACGGACTCAAGAGGCAGTTAGCGTTCGGGTGTTTTCCAGCTAGTAAGTCGGTGAGAGTTGGATGAGTAGCATGAGCGTTGAAAGAGAAGAATATGTCAACGTGGCGAGTGATGTTAAGAAAAGAGCTAAACGACGGAGTGCGAAACATCACAAAATGAAATCTCTTTTGAAACAAATTAAGAGTGAAAAACCGCTGAAGACTAGTGATACTTTTCATTAAGTATTCCGTGCAGGTAAAAGTAAATCTGTTACAATTAAAAGTAGTCTCGAAGTGCGTGTATCGACTGATAGGAAATAAACGACAGAGAGAAAATAATAAGAAAACAATATGGCGGGATTAAATATGTGCTCCCATAATACACACCTAAAGACAGAAAACGTTTGATCTCGTCAAACATCCTGCAATAGAGTTTCATGCACTAACCCATAAATAATACACCCAGTTCCAGAATCTCGGAAGGTATATCTAAGCATTTTGATAAGCTCTTTTCCCAGATTGTCAAGTTCGCCCTTTAATTATTCGATCAATCTTGTGGATATGAAATTACATTTGGCGGTATGTTGCCGCATTTCGAGGATAAACGCTTTGATGTTCTAACTCTTCTAACGAATCACTTTGTGAACTTTTGCTCTTTCACCGCATCAGAATTTCGTACATTTCGCATGATGTTACAAAATATTTTAAATATTTTCATACAAAAATTGTGGTGGATCCCTGGGAAAGAACTTATTTCAAGATGCGGCAATACAGAAAGTAACTAATATATAACGAAGAGAATATTGCCACTACATATCGAAGTGACTATCTATGAATAAAGAAAGAGTATAAAAAAAATTAACGCGACAGGACGTTATATTAAGTAATGAAGACGATAGCAACTTAGATGAAATGAGTGCTAACTGCAAGACCCTTTGGGGATAAAAAGCACAAATGAGTTTACTTGACTAACGAAGTTTCCTCTGGATGTGTTGGTACTGAAGACGTGAAGCTATATGTGAATCCTATAGTGTTATTGGCTAGTGTGATAACCTACCGGATATAGAGTACCACTGGATAGATTTGAATATAATTATTATTCTCGTTTGTCATAATATCATGTTAAACGATCCATGGGATGTTTTCAAGGCCAAATGCAAATCTTTGCCCAAGTTCAGTAAATGTTATTTATGTGATAAACTTCACTCGCATAATTCATGTGGATTTCATAATGTTAAATTTTTGAACTATGGGAAAATCTGATGCATCAAGTAGGTTTGTAGAACTACTGTTCATTTGGCGTTCAGTTGTAATAAGTCCTATTATATGTATTTCGTTAATTTAGGTGTTCCTAATGATCATTTAGCATCTTTGTTCACGATCTACAGAAGTATTTTACAAATCGATAGAGTTTATATATCTCCTCTGGTTATTTCCATGATTTCACTATTACAAAGACAGTGTATAGCCCGGTGTTTCGTTCAAAAATTTACAATCTTCATATTCTGATGTTGTATTATGACCTGCCGAAACTCCACCATTGAGGTTTTTGAATAGAAACTGCCTGTACTAAAATGCTTTGAAGTGCTAACTAGACATTCCAGTTCTCCACACATGCTTTGTGAGTTTTTAATTGATTAAACGGGACCGTCAATATTGGATTTCAAAAATTTGAAAGAGCCTAGAGTGTAATAGTCTTAATTAGCTTTCAAATAACATTCTGACGCTCTACTCAAGGGTTCATTCACTGCATGTTCTTAATGCGATTGGCAGATGATAATTCGCCCCATAGGTCTTCAGGTACTACTCGGTTTTTCTTGAAAAGCGAATTATTTTTTATGGTCCTCGAGAAGCAGTGAGAAGAAACACTGAATGGTTTGTGTACATAAAATTAACTGAACTAGTTTAGTCTCCAGCATGAGACACTCCTATGGTTATATTTTTTGACGTTTGGCGGCAAAATTTGGAGAACGTGCGGTGATTAAACGACTCCCGTTTGTTGAAGCGGACATGCACTACGGTAGAATCTGAAGATATTCACAATCGACTTCATGATTTTTAAGTATTTTCGATTGTTGTTTCAGAAGATGCTTATCACCGAATTCCCTTATATCAGTCTCTATCCATTTTCACAACGATTAATAGTTAAATAGTGCTACCTTCTATTTGAGTTTAGTTATTGTCCGGGCATATCTCAGAAAGCAATGAATAACGTAGTTTTTGAAGTTCAAACTGCCAAGGTTTATCGGTATGGTCTTAGTAATAATAGTCTTGATAATGCAGCTCGTGGGCGAAGACCCATCGCTTCACCATGCAATCTAACTGAGAAGAATGGAGATTCAAGTCTCGATAATTGCCCATTTTTTGTACCTAGTTTTCAATGATTTGGAGATCTAGTTTGTGATAACGGTTTCAGACCATGTATGCAGTTAATATTTCCGTGTACGGATGCACAGTCTCCGTAATTACTTCCGCTAGTTAGTGGCTTACGATGATGTCCACGTTTCACTTCCAATTTTGTCTTCCTAGCGGTCTATTTCAGATCTTGATGACCAGAAAGCACTGATGGTGAGGGCGAAGATTTCAATCTACCCGTGTTTGTGGGGCAGAATATTCTGTCTGTATCAGGCTCTTTATGGATGAGAACAAGTCAATCAATCTGTGATATTGAGGTTGTTCTCCTACACTCACCATTCAGACTCATGATTCTAATTTTTGTGCTGGATCAACTATTCTACTAAGACAACCTATAATATGCTAACTCGGACTTTTACATGAAAATTGTGTTGCAGGCATCGGACGGTGAAAAAACAGACTGTAAAGGATATGGATGTTATTTTACTCAACATTCTACTCTCTATATGCACTCTCTGTTCTTCCTCATTACAACCTTGACTTCCCTCCTTCATTGGAACCTACTCCACCTTGATAAACATCACAACTCATTGTTCTTTATTACTGCATTCTCTCCTCTGTAGCCCCTGATCACATTTCACTCTTGCAACATGAGCTAGTGTAGTGAACAGAACACTGGTTGGGGACAATCGAATGTATTTAAGCAAAAATTACAGACCATCTCATTAAATTCTAATAACCATACAATGAACAGTCTTTTTTTCAAATTAACAAGCAATTGTCTCAATCTTCACCGTTTCTTCTCTAATTTCATTGTTCATGCAATTTCCTACCGATTGCGCTTCTTTTTAGTTCCTTCTTCATCAGCCTTCTGCGAAAATGCATTCTGTCTGACCAACACCATATGCAACTTATATGGATATAAGTAGACCACAACACACTAGCATCAATTTAATGTAATAATTTATCGTACTTCAATCTGTTCCACTAATAAATGTTAAGCATTGGTTATCGTTCATATCCAAATGCCTTACTGCTTCTCGGTTTCTCTTTTTTTTCTCTTCAGAATCTTGCTCTGAGGGTGAAGCTATGTAACTTCTGACATCTGGAACAAGCTCGACGAACGCGCTTTCCCAAGGTCATAGTTCAAACCGGGCGCTTCACAAGCCTACTTTATAACAACTATAAACTTAAAAAGCTACATTACATAAATACTTAGCACGACCGAAACCCTAATACACGTTTTGTCGAGATTGGATCTGGTATGTAACGTGGACGCCATGCCCCTTTGGAAACTATTCTTATGAAAACAAATTATATCTGAACGAATGAACTGCTATCAACTTTTATAGATTATAATTACTAAACAACCTTGCTTGGGATGCATACTGTGAACCAGAATATGTTGTAAATTGTAGATCATGTCTGTAAAAATGGCGTGTACCTGCTATTGCAGAAATATACTATTATTATTATTAATAATAATAATTAAAGTCAATACGTCCTAAATAAATTTAAGAAATTAAGGATACAAGCTATGATTCTTAGTTAATCAGTCAGTCATAAGTAAATATACATCGCCTGAACACAGTGACAGTTACAAGTAACAAGAAAACAAAGCATTCGAACCAATATCAGTGGAACTCTCATTGAAAAGACTAAGTGATCAAAAGACAATGTATAAACTTTAGAAATAAAAAGGAATAGAACAATGTTAAGACTCTAGATTTGAAAGAAATTAAAAGATGACTTCATTGATAGACTTTTAACTATAATGCGATTGTGTACTATGGGAGCGTAAATTCTTAGAACGGCATCACTTTGATAAAACGAACATGCATGAGCTTCGAACCTCAATCTACTTAAGTGTGATAATAATAATAATATATTTCTGTAATAGCAGGTGCACGCCATTTTTACAGACATGATCTACAATTTACAACATATACTGGTTCACAGTATGCATCCCAAGCAAGGTTGTTTAGTAATTATAATCTATAAAAGTTGATAGCAGTTCATTCGTTCAGATATAATTTGTTTTCATAAGAATAGTTTCCAAAGGGGCATGGCGTCCACGTTACATACCAGATCCAATCTCGACAAAACGTGTATTAGGGTTTCGGTCGTGCTAAGTATTTATGTAATGCAGCTTTCTCAGTTTATAGTTGTTATAAAGTAGGCTTGTGAAGCGCCCGGTTTGAACTATGACCTTGGGAAAGCG